TCTTCGAAGACAGCTGCCATTTAAGAAGCCGATGGTCAGTAACAATACACACTTGAGTCTCAAGATAGCCTCGAAATTTGTCAAGGGCCCACACCAAGGCCAACAGTGGGGTCTAATCTTGATATGACTAGGTACAGTAACAGGTCGAATAGTCGACATCACAGACGTAGACGGTTTAGTCTCAGAAGTAACTCATGGGCGACTTTCATCTAAAATCTCCTCCACGCCGCGGGCCTCAGTTAGAAGCTTCGCGAAATTCTCAAATAATGAACGAGCTACCTCTTCGCGAATACGGCGATGTAGTAGACCATAGGTCATATCTAATTGTACCGCCTCCGAAAGAGAACAAAGTGCTCTTAGGTGGCCAACAAATAAATCTGTAGTTTCGTCGAGACGATGTTATCGTTCAAAAACCTTTAGATAAAGTTTTGACGGCGGCAGCCTTGGTCCGAATGTTTGTTTTAAAGCATCGATAGCTGCTGACCATGTGATAGTGCTGTCTTTTACGCCCTGCCACCAGGTAGCTGGGATTCCCGTCAACAACATTGATAAGCCACGAAGTGCAGTGCTGTCATCCACTCGAACACATTCCTTGTAAGTTTCTATGGCGTCTATTTATAAAGGCCAAGACGTCACTGGATTTCTCGTCATCGAAGCGAGCGGTACACTTGGCAAAGTTGCCACAATAAAATTGGGTTGGCGTACTTACAGCCTCACGATGACTTAGCCTGTCAATAAGCAGCAGTAGCTGCTTGGTTGCCATGGCGACCGGAGCTGCGGAGGCGCCAGCAGCCGGCTGTGGGTCCACCACAACCACTTCTGCAGTCGAAGTGTCATCGCCGCGCGGACATGATAAGTCCGGCGCGGGCGCTTGGAGCCGCGCTTCCGCCTTAAACGGAGGCGCCAGCGGCAGAACGGCTCGCATTACGCGATCTTGTTAGCATTATTGTCAAAATAGTTCACTATTTATTCAGTACAACGTCTCAAAACTTAGTTAGGTTCCACTTAAGCACTAGATTGTTTATAACGACACACGAACTGTAATAATGAAGTCCTCACAGTCGCAAGAAAAGTCTAAAATCACTAAGAAACAGTCACCACGTTGACTAAACACGAACTTTAACTGCTTAGAACTGTGTACGTTACGATAACGATCGTCCAAAATGATTTAAGTGACAAAACACTACACAGTTCGTAAAAATCACTATGATTATCTTAGCCTAGGTTCAGGTATAACTAAGTACCTACCTGTGACAAAACCTCACTACAGTCACTTTACAAGTCTGTACCTACACAGTCACTGTAAATGTCCATACACGACAATCTAGGTTCAAGAACTATCCTCGATACGAAACATAGAAGGTAGGTATACGAAAGTCCACGAATGACTGTAGGTTTTATTGCTACACACTTGAGACAAGTCTAATATTTTTTTATACACTAACCGGTACTTCGAAAATAATCACACAACACAGATTTTGAAGTTTCTGGAATACGAAACCGATTGTTCGTTATTTACGTATTGAATTTAAACACTTATAACTTTTATACGACGACTGTTCGAATAGTAGGTACTTATAACCAACTAATAGTTAATGTCTGAATAACCTAATGGCGTAAGCTGTGGTGTTGTATATGTACATTTTCTAAATAAATTTTCTAAACCTAGATTTAGGTAATAGGTACCCAGTACCCACCCGACACAAAATCTTTCACGGTTATTGTTCGAAAGTCGAAACACATACAAAATGTCTGCCGGCGTAGGTACGTACATTATCTATATTCAGGTTTTAGGTACCCGGTACGAAATATAGACAAATAGATGCCTACACACTACATACACTGGCTGTCTGTGACGAATCTATGTTCAGGTATTACACACCCGATGCAAAACATAGGATTCACCGAGTTTCTCGCGAAACAACGTAGGTACTTAGGTTCAGGTATTACGTACCCGATACAAAACCTAGGTAATCACTACCTACGCGCGATTGACTAGTTACTACTTGAAATCACACGACACACGCGAATTCACATAATTGAAATGGTTTTAATGCAAGTTCGTATACGCTCCACGTTGGGTTGCCAGTTATAAGTTGAGTGAGTGAAATAACGAACGACACTTAGGGGAAACTCAACTTATATTGAATTAATTACATATGGAGCACAAAATAAACGGAATAAGACATAGAACCTGCATGAATGTAACAAATATAAAACCGTTACTGATCAAAATGTGAATTAGTCGGCGCGCGGTTCGACCGCGCGTGCGCTCGCTTTAATAGTTTTCGCGTCACTGACTAGAGTTGCGGCGCGGGCGCGGACTCGTGCCGAGCGTCGAGCTAGAGATGGGGTGTGCAACGCTACGTTAGTCTTACTAATGCGCGCTACACATGTTCATTACGGCAAATCTAGGATTATAATGGTAAAAAAATATTAAAAAAATCGCTCCGACAGATTATGAGCTTAAATAAGACTATGAGAAAAAAATCAAATCTTTTCTCTTTTTAATATGATAGTGTAGATATGACTCTACTCAAATCAACTACTATTACTTTTCACGCCTTTTTCAACTCTTATAATTTATACAACTTCGGAATATGAAATATATTACGATTTCATAATCCGCTGTCACTAAGGCCGAAAACAGCAAACAGAAAGAAAAGTGAGCGTCGATATGAAAGCTGTTCGTTAGGCTCCCTGTAATTTATTATATTGTTCTCTCGCCGACAACGCCAGGAGATAAACGTGGATGCGAATTATTATTATTTATTTTTATTTAATTTTCGGTAAATAAATAATGATTACGGCAAGAAGATATATGTATTGCAGTGTTAAAATATAGTGTCGTTCATTCGTTAACTTTTATATTTTAACACCTTGGAATTTGATCAACTACTTTTTGTTGATTTGATTTATTCGTGTATTTCGACAAAATAACTTTGTTTAACAATTCATGTATTTATTTATTTTCAACTTAATACAACAAACGTGTATAGGTGGACTTAATGCCTTGGGCATTGTTTCACAATACCTTTCTGATTAATTGTTGTCATCTTAACTGACCAATCTAATCTGTTTAAATCCTTATCATTACTTTCAAATTAGCTTAATCATACTTTTAAATTGCTTATTAGATACTGTTCACATTATAACCACAAAATGTATTGAACCACAAAATATAAATACCTTTTAACCAGCTGTTCTTAATGGAATATTCTACAGCTAGTTTTGATTTATGAAAGACATCGTGGCTGTATCCCAGCCGTTGAGTCCCGGAAGACATTGAATGGCGTGGTTATAAAGAGTAAATACTTATAGTGTATCGTATCGGGGGGAAATTACTACATCAAGGCGAACAAACTCCTTTGTGGACAAAGTGGGTTCGATATTATGGAGTAGGTCGGCCGATAGAGGTGTTTTTGATGTACTCGTAGTTTGAGGTGCTTTATGCTTTTGGCATTTATTGCTGTACGCTTTTAAATTTTTATAGAATGTTAGCAGTTCTAATTCAAGTAGCGAAGCACCTATTTTTAGCATTTGTTAAGTAAAAGAATTTTTTGAATTAATGTGTTGCGAAAAAGCACCCAAATGGATAATAAGAAAGATGTTTTTTATAATGTTGATTGTTTTAGAGCCATTGCTGTATAGGTATTTAATCGGTAGACGACGAAAGATGATTCAATTCCTTATGATAACATCTCATCAACATCATCAACAACGCCTATTATTCCCGAAGGTGCACATTAAGGCACTTAATACCACTGTACAATGTAACATCCACTTTTTACTATTTATGTTATGAATCCCATGTAATAGGAGGTGAGCCTATTGCCATATACCGGGCACATTTCCAGTTCCGTGTTCCTACTGACATTTTTTTAAAACCCAGTAATACTTTTCCCCGACCCAGGAATCGAACGCGAGACCGGCAAGTCGGCGGCACGAGTCGGCAATCGTCGACCACTCGGCCAACGAGGCAATCGTATTTCAAAACATAACATTCTTAATCTATATCAACACTCAAAACAAAACTCAGCAGACATGTCCATGCTAACATCAACCTCCCTATTGTCTAAAGCCTTAGATAAAGGGAGCTATCAAAAGTTCCACCGGAATGAACTAACGAGCGGCTATTTGCTACAATTCACCCATTTCTGGCTATACAACTTCAACGAAATGGCGCAATGAAAAATAATATGAATTATCGCCAGTCTAGGGAACGGGCACTATGTTGCGGTAATAATGTTTGAAGAAACTATTGCTTCACGGTTTTTAGGGTTTTCGTGACATATTGGTGGTCGGATGTCATGTTTTTTGCAGTTATTGTTTGGTGTATTACGTTAGGTAAATACATATCCTCCCTAGTTAAAGGGGTGCCAACTGAAAACCAGTGTTGGGTACTTACTGTGCCCAGCTTAAACTGAGTTGGCGAGCCCTTTCGTCGTGGACATGCTGCCACCCTATTGCTCTTTTATTTTGCTTTCTTTTATAATGTTTTTTTGACTTCATTGTTTTTTACTGCTGTTTTTTTAATGTTATTTAATTTTCTTATTGTTTTTTTTTCAATGTTATTTTGTGTGTTCATATTCGGTGGTCCGTGGTTTTTTTTGAAGGTGGCAAAATCATCGAATTACTGCTCCCGCCTGGATGAGGTGGGAGGGAGTGTCAGACTAAAAACCACCCCGTTCCTTCTCCTGCACGTCGAGCCAGAGCCCCGGTTATCCCGTTCTCCATGGTCGTATGTGGTCCATGCTTGATGGCGAATAAATTATTTTTCTTTCTTTCTTTCTTTCTTTAAATTATAGGTATCTTTTTCAATTAAAGCATGTTTGTTAGGTTCTCTCAATTGATCTTCGATTAAGATTTCCACTGCTATTAAAAATTGAAAGTAGAGATTCACAAATTAAAAAGCTTCAATATACATACGGGACGTGCTACTGCTGTCAGGCGCTTGAGATAATTATATTTGACTCAGTGTGTAACTCAAATAAACTTACCCTTCCAACAAAAGGAAGTCCAGGCTTGTATCGTCGTCTCATGCTGTCAGCGAATCTCAGTTCCACGTAGTGCTGTTCAGCTGCCGGAGCTGCAGCGGCTGTGTTGCCCACTCCGTTGCCAACAGTGATGTCCACTCGAGCAGTTCCACCGCCACAACGCGCTTCAATTCGCCAAGTTCCTGATCGAGCTCCTGTCGCCAGTATTGCACTGAGCTTACGCACTCCTGGGGACAAAAACAGTAAACATTTATTGATTTTGTCTGTGAGCCTTGAGACATGTTATTTCGTATAGTTTGAATATATTTTTGTGTTCAATTTAATGGAGTGTCAAATAATAGGTATACTTTTACAAAAAAAACTGCATAAAAGTAGATACAGAATATTATTTACTTAGGATAATGATATAAGAAAATTTAGGGCAAATCATTATTCATAGTAAATTGAGTTTAATAAAAAATTTGGACTACTAATAACTACAAAAAAATCACTTGACCATCCCACTTCCATTCCATTTCCAACCACAAGATGGACGACTCAAAACCTATTTTCCAAAATTCGTATGCAGCAAAGAACTAAGTAATTTTGTATGAGAACAAAATGTAACTGATCCCTTTATCCCTGATAAATATTTGGAGCACGTAGAATATAGTTTCCTATGTACCTACTGAACCCGACGGTGACGCAAACAGCCTACACTGAGTATCAGTCAAACATGACTGACATTCGATCACCGATCGCTCAACGCGATAAAAGTAAAATAATCCCTTTGACGTAAAAAACAGGAGAGACTTTGATAAAAATAAGCAGCTTGTTGTGGTACATGATCCTTTTCAAATAGTAAGTGCTCCTGTTAATGATACATAAAACTACAGGCCCAGAAATGTGTCTAGGCGTAAATAAATTCCAATGAATAACACCAAAACCCTTTATAGGGTTCTCTCTACGTACGATACTGACATTTAGCCAAATCTGGACAAAATACAGTGTCTTCAAAAATGTAGAAAGGATGGATGAAAGTAGAGTAACGAAAGAAGTATACAGAGCGGATATGAATGGAGCCGTCGGTTGAGGGCGCCCTAGACGGACATATAGTGACCAGATTGGCGATATATTAAAGAAGGGCCAAATTAATTGTACCCTTAACCGACGAGCATGCATGAAAAGATTGATGACTGTTAATGAAGCGAAAGAGGTATGTAAGAATCGTAGTAATTGGCGTTCCTTAGTCTCTGTCTACCCCCATGGGAGACAGGCGTGAAGTTATGTATGTATGTCTTCAAAAACTAATTGTAAGACAAAAATACTCCTTTGAAGGATAATCTATTGATAAAACATGGAACTTTCTAGAAGAAGAAAAAGTAAAACTGAACCGAAGGACGTAGACGGCAAACAAAAACATTAAAGTCCTCTAAAGCGACGCATGTCCACTAGCAAAGTTTTTATCATTAGTTACAATATGTGACTTTTAAGAGGGTCAGCGAATGTAATTAATCAAACTATATTTCGAGTGGGACCCGACTCATGTTCTCCTGACAAGGTTATGCCTTAACTTCTCTTGACGTTGCGGTGTATAGGGTTTTCGGGGTCAAAATTATGTTGTTTTTCTATTATAATCCGATGGGAAATGTCATATTTTCTCATTGTGCATGAACAGCAAATATGTTGGAATAGTGCAAAAGAAAATAATCATGTTTGGCTGAACAATTATACTGTTGTTACAGATTAGCAGTGGCGTGCACACCATACATGCAAATAAGCACTGCATACCCTACAAAATCATGGTAAACCTACATAGTCAAATACATAGTGTCACTCATAAACACGACATGAATATTTACTGACATCATACAGAGATTTCGTAATTTTATGGATACTTAATTCGGAAAACTGGTAACTAACGCCATCTATTGAAAAAATATTGAAGTACTACAACCACTTTCTACTTTCTTCGATATTGGAGCTTTGCGCTAGTGGCGCCGCCACCTCGCTATTGTGGATGGTGGCGGAAGCATGTACTAATGCTAGCCGGTACAATTTGTTTGTTTTCTCGTGCTGATGTTGGATTTTTTTTTTGTTAAGTTGGTAATTTCTATACAACTGCAAAAGCACTGCTTCTTCGTTATCCGTCTAATTTAAGAAGTCAACAAAACGTAGCGTTTGTTGATTGAAAATAGATATATTAATTTTGGTCAACTTATTGTTTACGTTTTTTTTGGCCATTTTGTTTTGGTTATGTTTTTTATGTGCAAGTGAATAAATTGTAATGTAATGAATTATAATTTAAATGAACTGTTAATTTACCGAAAGTTATGTAAAATTATAGCTGTGAGCTCAGTGCTGGTGATTTGTGTTGTTCAATAAATTCAATATGAGTGCGTTATCGTTATTGTCGTTTGAAGAAGAAACGAAAATATTTCCAAAGGCGATTTTGCGTGTGTCGTATGTCCGGGCTAGGCGTAACTCAAAAAAGGTAATAATTTTATTATTTCTTCTAATAAACTACGATTTGCGATTATAGGTATAGTTTGTTAGCACTGGTTGTGTACCAATTTAATTATTGTTTATAACATCCAGTCTATCTTGATCTCGCTTTGTACTATTTCTATATGCATTTAACGGTCAGTTATACTGGCGTGGCATAGCTTGATGTGTAGCCATTTGTACTTCGCCGCTCCGTTAGGTACCTAGTAGATTTATAAAATAGATACCTACCGATAGATCTATGTTGATCAACTTTATACAGGGATAGTTTTAAAATAATGATGTACCTAATTTGTTTATACAAATTAATAAAATACTTACTAAACCTAATTACCTACCTACTCAACCGTGATGTTTTGGGAGTTTTATTTTCCGAGATTAATGTACCTAGACCAAATTTATTCTTAATCATGTGATACCTTCTGCCTACCCTACTTCAAATCTCTGTGCACGCCCCTGCAGATTAGTGTTGGATTCTGATTCAATATGATCATTTGTCATAATCCTCTGGAAATACTGGTTCTATGTTAGGTTGAGATAATTTTATGTAATATGCACTAGTTTTTATTCACCTTTAAGTTAGGAGTAAGCCACAGCGTATACGTATTATACGTATACTATTATGAAATTATAGCGTAAATGACTAAATACTGAATTATCTCAATAGTAATTTTAAAATATTCCTTAATTTAAAACAAAGCTATTATGAACAACAAACAAAAGCTTTATTTTATTCCATCATCCGATGGATAGAGGATCAAAACCCACGCAGCCGTGCGTGGTGCGGCTCTAGTGAATAAATTATATGCATGAAACACCAAACAAGTGACGTCAGACCTATTATTGTAACAACTTTATGTCTGAATGCCTTGTTGGTGAATCCTGGATATGGAAAGCATTTTCGGGATTTTTAATTACAATACCTAGCCTCGATTGTAGAAATTGGAATGATGACAGGATATGAAAATTAAAATCTAATTAGTCCGTAAGTTAGGTAATGAAATAATATTAGACACGATTTTTTTTTATTTTGGCTGCGTCGTTGGCCGAGTGGTCGCAAGTGCGACTGCCGGGCAAGGGGTCTCGGGTTCGATTCCCGGGTCGGGCAAAGTATTACTGGGGTTTTTAAAAATTCTCAGTAGTAGCACGGAGTCTGGAATTGTGCCCGATATATGGCAATAGGCTCACCCCCTATTACATGGGACTCATAACATAAATAGTGAAAAGTGGGTGTTACATTGTACAGTGGCATAATGTGCACCTCTGCCTACCCCTTCGGGGATAAAAGGCGTGATGTTATGTTTTTTTTATTTTGTCGTATAATTAAACAATACTTGGATAAAACGAATCAAAGTTTAGGAGTGGGGGCTAAAACGTCATTTCTACATATACTATGCCCCAAAAAAAAGTCTGACATACAGAGAGGCCTGTGCCTTTCTGTTCAGGGAAATAGACTTTGTACAACAATTTTTTAGAATGTTTTTTGTGAAACTTTTGAAGTTTAATTATCACTTTAACATTAACCCTTGACACTATTCTGTATTTTAAGTATTAAAGTGCTTCTTGCTATGTCTTTTTCTCAAAACATCGAAAAATTTAATTTCACGACACGTCCTTTAAAAAGTGATTTGTCACATTCCCAAAATACCTCCATAACGCCGACAGAAGCTTTTGTGTTATCGCATTAGGGCAGGGATGGGGAAGTGAATGCGATTCAGGTAAAGCTAAACCTGATCCCTTTTCTTGGTAAAAGAATTTCCATGTCTTATCGAGGAACCCCATAGCCTTATGATAAATCGCAGCCATTGAAAACATTGACGTTTTAAATCGTTGAAAAAATATTACCTTTACATTGAAAATGGCGGAGGGACGATCAATTTTCGAAAGACAAATTGTAAATTGATTACACGTTTCAGTCGAAAATGAAATTATGGAATAAAATAAATAGAAGCTAATGAAGGGATTACGCAAGTTTTCGGTGGAAAGCGTAACAGCGTCGACAAACCTATTAATATTGATAAATGAGATTTTAAAGTAATAGAAACATTCGTTTATACAGATTAAAATAATCATTCATTGGAAGTAGAAGTAGATTTTAGCTATCGTTCATTAATGATTGATTTTAATCGGCAACAATACAAATTAAATTATAATCAAACTGTGATTTGTGTGACGTCTCCGTGGATGTAACTTGTACGTACTTATAATAATTCAAAATTAAGTTTTTATTTCGATCCTCAGATTTAAGTCATTAATAGTGGGTATTCATTTCAATGTTTAATAATTTTAGTGTTTAGTTTTAAATCGTATTTAGCTAGTAGCGTTAAACTAGGAATATAATTCGTGAAAATCATTTAGTTGGTACTAGACTGCAATAATCACAGATATAATAAAGAATTTTTAATATTTCTTTTTTAATATTTCTGTGGTAGTAATAAATCTTTTATTAGTATTAAACAATAAATTAAGTACCGTAACCGTACGTAACGTAACGTTTCTCTGCCTATCCCTTCGGGGATAAAAGGCGTGACGTTATGTTATATATTACGCAAAACCAAGAACCCAAATAAACATTGAAAATGAGAATACCCTCGGCTTTTGTTTTATTTTTAGCATCTCATTAAAACAAAACAAATTATATTTATACAAACAAAGTTCTATGACTTCAATATTCTCCAGAGAACACCCTATCATATTTTCATGACCACAAAGTTTGAATTCAAATAACATGAAAACATGTTCG